ACATGTGTGTCCCTGAAAAACAATCAAGCTTGGCTGTGTGCTGTCATTTGTGGCCAAAATGGGATGGCTGGATGTCTTCTCCCACTGGGTCCCTTCTGGGCACTGGTGGGTGGGTGCAGGACCGCCTGCTTCATTCCCTTCCCCATCCTCTGTCAGATCAGCCTCTGGTTAGTTCGGGTGGGTTGAACTGGGAATTCACCAGCAACGGCCATCACATTGGGATGAGTGGGTGCACCCCGAGCACACCCACTGTATTTGTCCCCAAGGCCAGGGTGCTGTCCTGAGGACAGCGGGGACATCAGGAGCACAAATCTCTGCTCTTTCTGCTACCGCCCCATCCTGTCCCAGCTCGGAGTTGGGGAAATTAGTTTTTCCTCCTCTAGCCATGCTTGGAGGTTCTGGGGGGACATGTGTCCCCAGCCCCTCCAGCATCTGGAGCCACGAGAGGCATGGATGTGCTCTGGGGATTTGAGCCATTCGCTTCTTGCAAGGGAGCAGGGGTGAACACAGCTTTCCAGAGGCTTGTGACTCAGCCAAGCTTAAGCAAAATTTCCCAGAGCCCATCTCAGGGAAGGGACTTTCTATGAAAATTGCCCCCATGCCAAACCGAAACACCCTTTCCCAAAGGGCCTTTTGAAGGAAACAGCTCAGCCGTTCTTGCAGCAAAGGCAAAGCCCCAGCTTTCTGTCTTAAATTCCTGCTCAGAAACAGCATCACCCAGAGCCAGACCCCCAGCACACTCCAGTTCAGCCCAGCAGTTAATATTTGACACAACAGCTAAATCCAGTGCCCAGTAACACTGCGAGCTTGGCCGGGTACCCCCGATGCCCACCCGATGCCCAGGCGTTGCCTTCTCTCGTGACCGTTGTTGTTGTTCTAGGAGAACCCGTACCTGTGCAGCGATGAGTGTGACGCCTCCAACCCGGACCTGGCCCACCCACCAAAACTCATGTTCGACAGCGAGGACGAAGGGCTGGCCACGTACTGGCAGAGCGTGACGTGGCGCCGATACCCGGAGCCGCTGCTGGCCAACATCACGCTGTCCTGGAACAAGAGCATCGAGCTGACGGATGACATCGTGATAACCTTCGAGTACGGCCGACCCACCATCATGATGCTGGAGAAGTCACTGGACAACGGGAGGACTTGGCACCCCTACCAATATTACGCAGACGACTGCATGGAGGCCTTCAGCATGCCAGCACGGAGGGTCCGCGACCTCTCCACCACCAGTGCCAACAGGGTCCTCTGCACGGAGGAGTATTCCCGCTGGGCGGGCTCCAAAAAAGAGAAAACCGTCCGGTTCGAGGTGAGGGACCGCTTTGCCATCTTTGCTGGCCCTGACCTCAAGAACATGGACAACTTGTACACCCGGCTGGAAAGCGCCAAAGGGCTCAAGGACTTCTTTACCGTGACCGACCTGCGGATGAGACTGCTGAGACCAGCCCTGGGCGGCACCTACGTGCAGAGGGAGAACTTGTACAAGTACTTCTACGCCGTCTCCAACATTGAAGTCACCGGCAGGTAACTATTTCTTTGGGGCGTCGCTTCGCAGAGAGATAAGAAGAGGGTTACTGCTAGAAAACTAAGCCATCAGCATTTCTGTCAACCGATAAGATTATCAGTGTTTCTGCCTTTAATTCTCTCTCTCCCCAGGCAGGGCAGCAGTGGTAAGAAAACAGATGTGTCCTTGCAGGGAATGGCTGGGGCACCTCCAGGGTATCTGAGGGAAGGGCTGTGTCCCCCCGGAGCTGGTGGGGGGGAGCTGGGATACG